TTAGCTATCATTAATACCTCACATATTTTATAATCGAAATATTTTTTACTTTAATCATTGCAAAACAATCGTACATAAAAATTAAAACTGTAAACAAATATTATTTTAAGTTATAACGATATGTTATTTCTTATTGTTTTCCAACATACCTATGATTAAAAACTGTCTACGATTCTTAAGCTATTTGTATTAACTAATAATTTTTTTTGGCACGTTTGTTTTTGGTAGTATTACCCATTTTTTATTTTAAAACTAAATTTGACCATTTTAAAAAAATAATGGAAACACGCCGAAAAAATAAATTTTTATGTAGAACATAGGTAGGGACTATACTAAATTCAATATAATGGAGTTGGCAATCCGGTGTTCTTGGAACCTATTTTTAGCGGCCCTCGAAGGCTCCAAAAATATATATCATGGTAGTGTTTAAAATTTTAATTTTATAGGTATCTTAAATAAAATCGAATCATGATTTTTATAGTTTATGAATATAAGCTATGAGCTTATCTCCCATTGTTCTCAAGTTCTCACAAAATATAATCTTTTATGACAATCATTTACATTTTTTTTGCACTCAAGAATTAATAAATATTTTTTTTAAATTTTAAAATTTTCTTTACTAATGAGTTTAATTTTAAAATTAGTTAATACGGTCCACCTTAAATTGCGAAACATAATATAATACGATTGTTGCTATAGTATAGTATATATTAGTATTATATTATGTTAAAAATTTGATTTTTCAATAATTTTCATAACGTTTATTTTAATTTTGTATTCGGTCCACAAAGAAAATCTAATAATAGTTAGAGCTTGTGTTAGTTAAAAGTTTTCCGACTTTTGCTACAGAGAATAGTAGATACACCATAAACGATTGACAAAAAGTTAACTGATCTGAAATAGTGAAATCAATGATAAATAATAAGAGTGCCAATCGGTTGTTGTTTTTAGAATTTGTATTAATTTTATGTTTTAGAAATTATGCGATATTATAGGATTATGATTTTAATTATAATTTTTGGTGTATATACAATAATATATTATGTTCTTTTCCCTTCATAAGATACACACACATAACGCGTGTATACTGTATACACATACGAACTTTCATGCACGTTCCCACATGTGATAAATATAAATATATTCCAAATATTAATTATTTATTACCAAAATATCATTGTGACGATGATTTCTTAGGACACAATATACCTAAATATTTTTCAAAATATTAAAATAGGCATGTTTTTGAGTTAATAAGATATATTAATGGTTAAACGGAAACAATCCGGTATTGGCCCATAAAATTGCTTTTAAAATCAGACAAGGGTTAATGTCAAACCTGCCAAATGACACCACTTCTATTCAAGTTCAAACAATTTCTTATGAAAATTCGTCGTCTTACCGAACCATGATGCTTGTTCGTTTGTCAAGGGTTGTAGTCCGTTTTTGCTCTTATCGCTCGCTAACGCTCCAATTATTATCGTAGAACACGTGAGTTCTATGCCGATCCCGATCTGTATGAAACATGGTCCAGCCAATGCCAAGCTCTGCAATGCCAAATATTGCCGTGTTTAATGTTAGAACACAATTTAAAGAGTTACATCAGCATAATAATTATAATTTATAAGTATTATTATTCATTTCAAAAAAAAAAAAAATATATATAATGTAAGAAAGTAATATCAACAGAAACTGAAACTGAAACTAAATGTGTTATTTACTCGCAAATCGTTACTGAGGTCTACAAGTAAGTGCATTCGTTTTAAATAACAATAATATGTTTTTATTTTTTTAATACGGCAAGAATGTAGGTATTACAGGTGTAGTATACCCGGTAAAGGTGGTATGTGTTCATTTCTGTGACCTCTATGTTATGCGATTAATAAAATATTATTTTTACATTTTGTGTGATATTATTGTGGCCAATAAACCGTATGGGTTCACCCTGGAAAACAACATGGTATGAGCAACCTTATTAACATATATAATGGTATACATTTTTAATTAGATGGTGTCATCTTATAATATATAACTTACATAAAATAATCGTCGGTATGACATAAGTTTCTTGTTAATCTATACATATATTTAAAAAAAAATTATTGTCATGTGTAAACAATTGATTCATTTGTACTGTATACAGGGTGATTCTTTTATCAAACAACACTTATATGGTGTCTGTGTGTAAATACCACCTAACATACACCTATAACATACAAACACCACCCAAAATCACCCAACTTTGGGTTAGGTCTATATCCTATATCCTATAGTATAGCCTATATCTTGTAAACGGATTAACGAAAAATGAAAATTTAAACATGAACATTCATTGAAAAAATAGCCTTTTTAGTTTATGAAATTTTATGTATAGGTTGTCATTTGAAAATCAAAAGTTGATAGTTAACCTGATAAATATAAGGGTGAAAATATTTAAAAAATATATAGTTCTAAAACAAGATGGTTCTAAAATTTTGAAAAAAAAAAATTTGAAAAAAGTTAATAGTTTTTGAAATAATAAGTGTTGTTTGATAAAAGAATCATCCTGTAGATAATTTTTAAATTATTATTGCAGCCTACTATTTAAATGTATCTAAATTTTATTTATTAAATCATTAAACCATAATATGATGATACAAAGTCGAAAAAAGTTATGATAATCTAAATTAAATAGGTATATAAATCAGAATAAAACTCGTATCATACACCATAGGTTAGGCTAGTCAAAATAATTTTAAAAACAAAAATGATAGGCTTACAGAATAATGTTGAAATTAATAATATGAATGTATGATATTGTTGGATCAATGTCATACATGTGGTATGATAAATAGATTGGACTTGTTTTTGATACCGTAAGCAAATAAGTTTTGTAATATATAAATAAGAGTTATGAATTATTATGATTATTTGAACGTTAAACACTATGCACTGCAGGTATAAGAGTTTTCTGTAAGACTATAAAAAATCATATGATTATGAATAAAATCTACAATTATATAATCATTTCAATACATGAATAATTTGAATCATAGTTAACCTTTAATTAACTTATAACACATATTTGAGTATTAACTAATAACTAACTTGAGCAAAAATGGATTTAAAGCTATATCTATAGTTAATATTGGATTCCATTTCTTTTCTCGGATCGTTCGTAGTTTTCAAAGTTTTCTTAGGTTTTCTGTAAAGTAAAATAAGTAGGAATAATTAATTTGTGAAATAATTATCTGCCAAGTATAACTTATTTATAAAGTAATAAATCAAATCAATATAATACTAAATTAAATGTATAATAATTACAAAGGTGGGGTAACACTTCTTAAGAGTAAATCATAATAATATGTTCTGTTTTCTTGGTAAAATGTTTAAAATTGGTATAACTTATACTTAATAGTATATAGCCTAAAATCGTTTATTATAATATAAGTGAGTAATTAAAATCTTCTTATATTTAAATTCTTATTGAATTATTTACTAAAAAGGAATATAATAGTTGAGTATTTATATCAATTAGAATTCAGTATTTACTAGCAGAAAAATATAATATAAATAAATTAATAAAATAATATTTGTATTTACCTTTTACTTATAGCTGATATTTTTTTTTTAATAGTATGTACCTATCAAAAGCAATAAATATGCCATTTGTGAATTGATGATCATACTGATTTAAAATTAATACTGTTAAATAAAAAATATATTATTATGACTTTCGAAATTTTAATATCCTTAGAATATTTATAAGAAAATACTATCTTCAAATAAAACGTATACTAACCAGTAGCGGATCTGAAGATCATTTGAGGCGGGGGCGAATTGGTCTCATAGATTGATAGGTAATAACAAAGACGTAACCGAATACACATTTCCGATTTTCGTATTATAAAAACATACCTTTTTTTTTATCATTTTACATTTATTCATAAGTTTAATGTTATAGCTATGACTTATGAATTTCATATTCTTTTTATCATACGGCGCTATAGTTTAAGTAAAAAAAATTCCCTAGGGAGGGGTAATCGCAACGTCCCCCCCCCACCAATCCGCCACTGATACTAAGTTTATTCTTACGTGTAATTGCGTCAGTTTATGTGCATGTGATTATCACTCAATTTACACTGATTTAATAACATGTACAAGTTATTTCACAATAATTATTAATACGTGTTTTGCAATGTAAAATAGTAGGTTATAAGTGGGCTAGTGTAATGGATGGGATTAAATTTGAATCCAATGATATTATATCATTGTATACGAAAAACGATTCTAAGCGGAGACGGTTTATCTGTCTAGGATATATTATAGATTATTAAAAATTTTCAAATCTTAGATTTAAAAAGAAAATTTTTCATGAATTTCTAGCGAAAAATAATTTGCGAATTTTCTTGATTTGTACGTGTTGTCAAAATTCAAACTTTGAATGCTTATTAAAAAAAAATGTGACTATGTATTTTTAATATTAGATTCTGAGCGGAGCGATTAATGTATTGATTTTACCATGATGTGTGTTTTTTTTGTATCTGTCATCACGTTTTGGGGCAGTAAAAGTGCTTCGATTTTTGACTTCAGTACCTCGTTCGATCAGAAAGTGAATCTAGTTGGTACTTTGGGGG